TTAGATCTTGCGCGTGTGGGTGGGAGATTTCGCAAGTGATTGATCTTGTGCGTGTGGATTGGAAGGTGGATGGAAGATCTTGCGTGTGGGTGGAGATTTCCAAGTGGATGTTCTTGCGTGTGGTGGAAGGGGATGGAAGATCTTGCGTGTGGGTGGGAGATTTCGCAAGTGGATGATCTTGCGTGTGGATGGAAAGTGGATGGAAGATCTTTGCGTGTGGGTGGGAGATTTCGCAAGTGGATGTTCTTGCGTGTGGTGGAAGGTGGATGGAAGATCTTGCGTGTGGGGTGGGAGTTTCGCAAGTGGATGATCTTGCGTGTGTGGATTTTCTGCGTGTGGGTGGGAGAATTTCGGTGGATGTTCTTGCGTGTGGTGGAAGGTGGATGGAAGATCTTGCGTGTGGGTGGGAGATTTCGCAAGTGGAATGATCTTGCGTGTGGGTGGAAGGTGGCATGGATGATTCTTGCGTGTGGGTGGGAGATTTCGCAAGTGGATGTTCTTGCGTGTGGGTGGAAGGGGGATGGAAGATCTTGCGTGTGGGTGGGAGATTTCGCAAGTGGATCTTGCGTGTGGGGAAGGTGGAAAGATCTTGGGTGTGGGTGGAGATTTCGCAAGTGGGATGTTGCTTGCGTGTGGGTGGAAGGGGGATGGAAGATCTTGCGTGTGGGTGGGAAATTTCGTGGATGATCTTGCGTGTGGGATGGAAGGTGGATGGAAGATCTGCTGTGGGTGGGGGAGATTTGCAGTGATGATCTTGGTGTGGATGGAAGGTGGATGGAAGATCTTGCGTGTGAGGTGGGAGATTTTCGCAAGTGGATGATCTTGCGTGTGGGTGGAAGGGGATGGAAGATCTTGCGTGTGGGTGGGAGATTTCGCAAGTGGATGTTCTTGCGTGTGGGTGGATGGAGGTGGATGGAAGATCTTGCGTGTGGGTGGGAGAATTTCGCAAGTGGATGATCTTGCGTGTGGATTGGAAGGTGGATGGAACGCAAGTCGTGTGGGTGTGGAGGAGATTTCGTGGATGGCGTGTGGGTGGAAGGGGATGGAATCTTGCGTGTGGGTGGAGATTTTCGCAAGTGGATGATCTTGCGTGTGGGTGAAGGGGGAATGGAAAGATCTTGCGTGTGGTGGGAGATTTCGCAAGTGGATGATCTTGCGTGTGGATGGAAGGTGGATGGAAGATCTTGCGTGTGGGTGGGAGATTTCGGCAAGTGATGATCTTGCGTGTGGATGGAAGGTGGATGGAGATCTTATGCGTGTGGGTGGGAGATTTCGCAAGTGGATGATCTTGCGTGTGGATGGAAGGTGGATTGGAAGATCTTTGCGTGTGGGTGGGAGATTTCGCAAGTGGATGTTCTTGCGTTGTGGGTGGAATCTTGCGTGGTGGTTGGGCGGAGGTGTGGAATGGAAGATCTTGGTGTGGGTGGGAGATTCGCAAGTGGATGTTCTTGCATGGGTGGAAGGTGGATGGAAGATCTTGCGTGTGGGTGGGAGATTTCGTGGATGATCTTGCGTGTGGATGGAGGTGGATGGAAGATCTTGCGTGTGGGTGGGGAGATTTCGCAAGTGGATGATCTTGCGTGTGGATCTTGCGTGTGGGGGGAAAGTGGATGATCTTGGTGTGGATGGATGGATGAAGATCTTGCCGTGGATGGCGTGTGGATGGAAGGTGGATAGAAGATCTTGCCAATGGATGGAAGATTATGCATGTGGATGAAAGATGAAGGGAAGATCTTGCGTGTGGGTGGAAAAATTTGCATGTAGATGGGAAGATGTGCAAGTGGATGTTAGATCGTAAAATTGGGTTGATGATCTTGCATGTTGGTGGAAGATGAATGGAAGATCTTGCATGAGGATGAGAAATAGATGGAAGATCTTGCATTTGGGTTGAGGATTTTGCCTTCTGGATAGAATACCTTGCAAATGGATGGACGATCTTGCATGTGGATGGGAGATGGATAGAAGATCTTGCATGTGGATGGGAGATGGATAGGAGACCTTGCAAACGGATGGAATACCTTGTATGTGGATGGAAGATCTTAAAAGTGGAAAAAAATAGAAAACCTCTCAAGTGGATGAGAAATCTTGCAAGCATATGGAAGATCTTGGATGTTGATATAATCATTTGCAAATGGATGGTTGATCTTGCAAGACAGGCAATAAGAAGCATGGACTACGAAAAACTGGAATCAGAAAGAATAAAAGAAAGAAAAACAAAGAAAATAAAAACTGACCAGGCAAAACTAGTGATAGAAGATATATTGTTAATAGATATGGTAATAACGATATTTATAAACTCAACAATAACGGTTATGAAAATAGTAACAACATTAATAATGATGATAATATTGATAACATGAAAAATAGTAATAGTAATAGAATTATAATAATTATACTGGCAATGATGATGATGACGATAATAGTAAGAATTTTGATAATTATGATAACGGTAAGAACAGTAGGAAAAGTAATGATAATGATATCAATTATAATAACAATG